TGCTGAACCTCTCCTCTATCACCAAGCGCCATCCACCGCCCCTTTTTTCTCGCTGCAAAACAAACCACTCTGCCCGTTTTTAACCTTAAACCGATGTTTTGTTCCTCATTTTAACAAGCTGCTGTCTCCCCTTGTCTTTCTGTTTAGGACAGCTTGCGTATACTATAATTTTCTCAACAACATGTATAGGAAAAATCATGTCCGTGACTTCATTTTTTTTTTTTTTGATGTTCCTGCTCAATTTACCACTACGTTTTGGTTGTATTATAGTCCCGTTCTTCCTGACATTAAAACATATAGCAATCATATTCAACTCTATTCTGCAAATTGTATAAGAATAAAAGTTAGAATTAACAATTTATTTTGTACAACAGTGGAATTTTCTGTCCTGGATCATGTGCTTGAGTCCCCATCTTCTCTAGATGCATCAGCAAAAGAGCCAGGAAAAAAACACTCATTTTCGCCTTGAGTCTGTGAAAGGGGTTTATTTTGTCCCGTGCCTTATGTGGAAAGGAACTTTTGGTTTTCATTGCTCTTGTTTTCTCCCCCTCGCCGGGGGAGCCGCTGCGGGGCCGTAGCGCCCGCGGCGCCGCTCGGATTTTCTCCGTCCCCTCTTGTGATGCATCGAGGACAAAGGGGGGTGCCCGGCAGAGCGGGGCCCTCGGCCGCCCTCTCCCCCGCGCCCCTTCCCTTCCTGCATGCCGCTTCCCTTCGCCCCCTTCATGGTGTGATGTGCTCCTCACGAGGACGGCAAGGCCCAGCGTTTGCCGAAAACGAAGCCTAATCCGAAGCACTGATTGATTCTAGCTTTCGAGATGAACTGTTGGCGATCCCTACTAACCTCCCCCTAGCCGCCGTCGGTCACTAGTTAAGTCTCCTCTCCCGCCTGGCCCTCGGGTTTTCCGCTACGGACGAGTTACTTGCATGCACTAGTTCTCTATGGAGGGTGATGTGGTTGTCTATGTGTCTGAGTATAACACGGCGTCCCCAAAGCCACAGCAGCGACAGGAGCTCCAGGTCCCTCCGCCTCGGCCGCCGGCGCCGCCAAAGCCCCGGGAAGCGCCGGGGG